GTGCGGGGTGTGCGAGAGACGGGGATGCAATGGTTACTAAACAACTGTTGTCTCCAATAGCCTTAATTCCTTCCAAACACCACCGCAAACTGAATAGGTGGGCCAGCACCGCATGACTTCTCCTCAGTGCAATCCACAGTGCAACCATCGATTTCGATTATGTCCACCATATGCTCCAAACAGGTTGGTGCAGAGACAGTGGCTTGGGTGCGTCAGTTAATTTTCAGTGTTTGTAGATTTGCGCAATATCTACCGCACTTTCGCCTTCCTCATCCGCATGAAGCCTGTGTCAACACGGGGTCAAGAAGACCCTAGGGGGGATCGGGCGCAAGGCCGCCTCTCCTATGCATGCCCCCTGAGTTAGTTTTTAGTGATTTCATATTTGCGCAGCATCCACAGCACTCTCTTTTCCCTTACCCACCCGAACGCAAGGTCAAGACAGAGTCAAGGAGACCGAGGCGTACAATCAGGTAGTGCGCAGTTGCTCTACAATGTTATGATTTAGATGAGGGAGGATAGCCAGAGTACCTTTATCCACGAGACTAACGCTCAGATCGTGATGGATTCCTTTAATAATAACCTTATAACAACTGGAATGGAAAAAATACGGAGTGTGGGAGAAGCGAATTGACGATACTCTGTTAAGCGCGCGGTTGGAGGCAAATTGTCGGGTTATTTTCCGTTCCCAATGTGATGTCAACTGGAACCAAGAAGGAAGTGGGAAGGGGTGAGCGTACCAGGGTTCATAACTGCTCCTGGAGTTCGCTTTATGCATGCCTGATATCTCTTTATGCAAATAGTCCATGTGGAAGGGCAGGAAACACTGACAATTTTTTTTCTGCCGGGAGGCGACTTACCCTGAGAATAGGGGTCAAATCTTCGAAGAGCTTATTCCTCAGTTCCTTTAGGTCATCGACGTAATTCTTGTTCCGATAGAAGGCAAACAGCGGCTCGCTTGTTTCAACGATCTGAAATTATCCAAAAAAATACTCCGTCACGAGCGGCGAGCGGTTCGTTTATATAACATGGATTATTCGGAAGATGTTTACATTTTAAAAAAATTGATAACTGGAGCTGAACCTTAAGGAAAATCAGTCATACAGACCTGCATTATTATGAGGAACCGGGTCTGCGTCCTACATTTTAATGATGTATTTGCTTTAGATTCAACAATAAACCGGCATGCGAACTCCCTCAAACTTCATGGAGCCCTATCTCCTCTTGATATCCGTAGATAATCATTTTGACAGCGAGTTGTCCGCCATTGGAACGGACTTCCTAAGGACAGTGTAGTAGCGGATGTGACAGCGGCATTCACAAATAGTAGATGTGCACTTACTTGAAAGATCTAGTTCAAC